GGGGGGTGGCGCTCGCTTGTATGAAAATACTCGTGTTTGTGGCCCTGTTCGCACATGCGCAGTTAGTTTTACGCTCATTCAAGACCTACACACACAAACACACACATCAAGCACAACTAAAATCATTTTAACCTAAATAAATCGAGATAAACCTGATTTATTTATTTTTTCGTCTTCCTGCATGAAGAGTTTTATTTAAAGAAAAATAAACGGAATATTTTCTTCAGATTAAGAGTTGGAAATCTTTTTTGTGATGCACAGAAATAAAATATATATATTTTTTTATTTTTTATGTTTCATTTTGGAAGCAAACTCCTCACAATGAAAAGTATTACTAAAACTAATATTAATAATATTATTAGGCCTGAGATATGATTTGTAGGCTTCTCTTTCCTCTGAAAACCCCTGATTGATTTTATAAATGTTAAGGCTTAATAAACTATTTTTTTTTTTTTTTTACTTTTGATTGTCTTGTTTGTTCTTCTTGATTGTCTTTAATTGCATAAATAATAAACCCTGTCGCTTTGTCTTAATACTGACACACTGAAACTTTAAATACAATAAATACAAAACATAAATAAACGACTCAAAGAAAGTTCTGAACAGATTTGTACAAGATATAAATAAGTTGAAATATTCTTATAATGTTACCTTTGGCAAGTCTAGTTTACAGTTTTACAACCCGCGGGTAACACATGGACTCCCTTTTTCCACAAAAATAACTAAATACAGAAAATCAACCCGCAGAGTTTCGGGGGGGGGGGGGGGGTATGGCCTTAAAGTTTCACTTTTCATATACTTTGATTTTAGTTCAGCGTTTGATAATTACCACTTTTATTTGCCCTTTGTTCGTTCTCTCCGTCCACGGAGAGGAGGGGGTGAGTTGTGTGTGTGGGGGGGTCAGTTTAGGAAGGCGTTCGGGGTCACCCTCTTTTGATGGGACAGCACCCCGGGGAACCCCGCGGACACCCCCGGAGAGAAGGCCGGTAGGGAGGTGTTTCTGAGGGAGTCCGACAGCAGGGACGGAGGAGAGCTGAAGCCCCCCGGTGCTCCCTGCGGGAGGTGCGGGGGCGGCGGGCCTCCCCCGGGCGACCCCGTCGCTGCCGCCGCGTGCTGGCTCCCTGAGACAAAGTAGCCCCCAGTCTGTCCGGACAGCAGCCCCACAGGAGACGAGCTCATCCCGTAAGTGTTCGTCAGCCCCAGCGGCCCCCCCGCCGAGCCTCCGAGGATGGAGCGCCCCAGGTCCCCGTTGCTCAGCGGCTCCACGGCAGGCAGCAGCGAGCCGTAGCCCGCCGCCTGGTTCAGGAAGGCGGGCGAGGAGCCGTTGTAGTGCGGGTGGTGGTGGTGGTGGTGGTGGAGGGACAGGAAGGGGGAGATCTGCCAGTACAGCGGGTTGTTGGACCTCTCCAGGCCGAGCGGGGCGAAGCGCAGGCCGCGCTTCATGGCCAGCTTCCCCCGGGAGGTGGCGGAGCGCCGGCGCAGCTTCCCGGTGGTCCCCCCGATGAACACGTCGTCGCTGCTCGGGTCCAGCATCCAGTAGTTGCCCTTGCCCGGGTCGTCGTAGTGACGCGGGACCTTCACGAAGCACTTATTGAGGCTGAGGTTGTGGCGGATGGAGTTCTGCCAGCCCTGCTTGTGCTCCCGGTAGTACGGGAAGTTCTTCATGATGAACTCGTAGATCCCGTTCAGGGTGAGCCTCTTCTCCGGGCTCTGGCGGATCGCCATCATGATGAGCGCGTTGTAGCTGAAGGGGGGCTTGTCGTATTTACCCGTTTTACTCCCGCCGGTGCCGTTCGTCTGCTCCGGTGCCGCCTGCGGGTCCGTCCCACCTCCGTCCTCCTCCTCCTCTGCTCCCTGCTCCTCTTTGCTCGCTTTCTCCGGGTCCAGGACCGCGGCGGTGGAGTCCACCTCCAGCGGGCCCGACGACTTGTCCGAGTCGGAGCCCGGGGAGGGGGACAGGGTCCCGGGGAGCCCCAGGACCGCGGCGGCGGGGGCAGAGTCGCTCCGGTCGCACTTGGAGGGCAGCAGGAGGCTTTTAATGCTGAAGGAGGAGGACCGGTGCACGGTCTGCGGGGGTGTTACATCCTCCATGCCGGGTGGCAAGGCTCCCAGAAGAAGAACAAAACAAACAAAAAAAAGAATAAATAAGAAAAATAAGAAGAAGTAAAAGTGCTGCTCCAAGCTGCTCCACCTCCGTCCTCCGGGCTGTACACCAAAGAGAGAAAGAGGAGAGAAAAGGAGGCTCTGGACGAGAGATGGAGGGATGGAGGAGCGGAGAGAGAGAGGGGGGGGAGGGGGGTGAAGCGTGGCTTAGATGTGGGGAAATTAGTAATTAAGGAGGTTCCGACATGACGGAGAGGAGGAGCTTCTCCAAGTTCTGCCTCTGTAAACAAATCCTCTTCCTCCTCCGAACCCTTCCGACCCGGACCAGGATTCTGGACCCTCAGAACCCCCGGACCTTGTGGACCCTCAGAGTCCCCGGAGCCACACACCCTTCAATATCCGCTCCCATCAATGTTTGACCCGCTTCTCAATTTACTACTGCCTGCTGCGTCACACTCCTCCGTGCGCGTATGACCGTGCGCAAGAGTATCGCGGCTTGCTTGAGCTGCTTGCCAGCTATACTAGAGCGCGCATGCGATCCGGGCGCGCGACCTCTTCGACTTTGTTTTGTCAACGACAAGAACCCGGTTTTTGAAGCGGTGTGGGCAAACACAGCGCGCGCTCAGAAGGAGGAGCTTTACGTCCACTTCAGAAATCACTGGGGCTGCACGGAGCGCGTGCGCAGCGTGACAGCTGCAGGTTTGATGCTGTAACCAGAGCGCCACCTGTCGGAGAGAGACCGTTACTGTCAGAGGAAAACAAACGTTATTATCAGTATCAACATTATTGTTGTTATTATTATTATTATTACTATTTAAAGGGGAGAAAAGTCCATGCTCAATAATCCAGGTATAATCCAACAATTTTCAGTCGGGTCATCTGGACAGTTTCTTTTTAAACCTTCTGGATGGAAGGTGAAACGTTTCAGCAAAATAAAAAGATGACCTGACTGAAAATTGTTGTATTATTTAAAGGACTTCACATACAGAGAAACGTATAGTGAATCTTCAGTCTTGCAGAATTGTTCCCTTTACCTTCATCTGTTTGTTGTTCTCCTGTCCTGAACCCTTGAGCCTCATTTTTATGACATTTCTTACAATGATTCAGTTTCCTCCTGAAATCTGTAAAGTGCTTTTGATCAGTACTTCTACAGACTTTATGAATGTTTATCTTTTTGTTTTTTTTATTGGATTTTTTGCTGCACTTTTGTAAATAGTGCAGGAAATTAAAGGAGGTTCAGACATTTTGCAAACATTGAAAAATAAAATTGACTTTGTATTTTTAGTCAACATCATCAGTGATAAAAAAAAAAAACCTTATCTATTGAAGGACAATATTTTATTCATAGAGTCTTTGTTTATGTGTTCATTTATTTTGCTGCACAAAGTATCTTGTAAGGGCAGCACGGTGGTTCAGTCGATAGAGCTGCTGCCTCTCAGCGAGAAGGTTACCGTGGTTCAAATCCCGGCCCAGGGGTCTATAGGTGGAGTTTGCATGTTCTCTCCGTGCATGCGTGGGCTTTCTCTGGGTACTCCAGTTTCCTCCCACAGACCAAAAACATGCATGTTAGACTGATTGGTAACTCTAAATTGTCCCTAGGTGTGAGTGAGAGAGTGAATGGTTGTTTGTCTCGTTTGTCTCTATGTGTCCCTGTGAGGGACTGGAGACCTATGCCCCCCGCTTCTCACAGTGATGGCTGGACATGGGCACCAGTGACCCCCCCAACCCAAAAGGAAGAAGCGGGTAAAGATTTGATGGAAAATATCTTGTAACAGAACAATTTCAAATGAAACTTTCAACAATAATCATTAAATTGTTTCTAAAACTGATTTTGGAGTCAACCCCGTTCAAGATGACATGCAAAAGCCAGCGGACATTAGCCCTTGTATTGTTATTTTACTTTATCACCATTCATGTTCCTTAAAAATAATAATAATCTTTCAATAGTTTTCCACATAAAACAAGTACCGTAATTTCCGTATAATAAGCCACTACTTTTTCCACATGCTTTGAAACCAGGCTTAAACAATGCTGCGGCTAATTTATGGATTTTTTTGTTTTTGACAAGCTAACGAGCTTCCTGCCGCTAAATATTTAACCTCATCACACCCCGGTGCTCACATAGCTGCCCAATATATAACTCTCCTGGGGGGGTGTCTCTTCGTGATTCAATGAAACTACCTGTATAAATAAAGGTTAAAAAAATCTGATGATGAAATGACCAAACCGGTCACAGTGGACGAATGAAACGAGGAGTGGAGGAGAGAACAGGGAAGGGAACTTGTGCCCCTGCTTGGGGGCACAACAAAGTGTTCGCAGCCACTCGATATCAGTGTGAATCGTGTATTAAAGTGACACTCGGAGCTCAGTGGGAGGCTTAGATGACTGGTGGCGAGGAATTGTTTACCTAAACTGGCGGCATGCAAAGAGCAACTTCTGCTCCAGTCTGCCAGTGGATGCTGAGGAAGACGGAGATAGCAATCGATGGTGGTAGGCTACTGCATTTTTTCTTTAACCAGCCGTGTTACTGGCACTGTTCAGAAAAAAAAAAAACATTTTCTGTACGTATTTGTTTATGGTACCGGTACATATTTAATCAAAAATTAATAAAATCTTTCTGTGTAAATGTCTCACGTTACAACAAGGACACCTGCGGCTTATACACAAGTGAAGCCTATTTATGTACTAAATTATTTTTTAAATGTAGTGGGTGTGGCTTATATTTGGGTGCGTTATTACCGCCCCATATTAATCTTTTGACAGTTTTTTAACAATTCCAGTCCAGAGTTTTGTGACGACCCTCCAGACCACACTGGACCCTTTAGAATCGAAAATGAGGATCTTGTTTTTGGTCAAATGTGAAATCTCTCTGTCTTCAAACATGACGGGTTTTTCCCATTCACTTTTGACTTCAGGGTCTTGTTCACGATAGATGGGAAAATGGAGCGAGAGATCGATCGTCGGATAGGCGCAGTGTTTGCAGTGATGTGGGCGCTGTACCGGTCTGTTGTGGTGAAGAGAGAGCTGAGTCAAAAGGTGAAGCTCTCAATTTACTGGTCAGTCTACGTTCCTACCTTCATCTATGGTCATGAGCTTTGGGTTGTGACTGAAAGAACGAGATCACGGATACAGGCGGCCAAAATGAGTTTTCTCCGCAGGATGTCTGGGCTCTCCCTTAGAGGCGGGGGACACCTGGACAGGTCTCAAGTCCACCACAGGTACACATAGAGACAAACAACTATTAACTCGTTGGGTCGTGGGGGTAGCAGCTTAAGTAGGGAGGCCCAGTCTTCCCTCTCCCCAGCCACTTGGGTCAGCTCCTCCGGGGGAATCCCAAGGTGTTCCCAGGCCAGTAGAGAAACATAGTCCCTCCAGCATGTCCTGGGTCTTCCTCTGGGTCTTCCTCCCAGTGGGACGTGCCTGGAACCCCTCACTGGGAGGCGTCCAGGAGGCATCCTAACCAGATGCCCGCGCCACCTCAACTCGCTCCTCTTGACGTTGAGAAGCAACGACTCTACTCTGATGACTGAGCTTCTCACCCTGTCTCTTGTACAGTGAGTGCTGGACATGGACACCAGTGAACCCCACAACCCCAAAAGGAAGAAGTAGGTATAATGGTTGGATAGATGAATGTTTTTTACAACTCTGAAAATGATAGAGTTACTAGTTTTAAAATTGTTTTCTGCCTGTACCGACTCAGACATACGAGCAAGCTGCAGGTGCACTGTCCACCACTGACTTCCTGCCTGTAAATGAACTGTCAGCCATGCATGTTAAACTGTTTTTAGGACAATGATTTTTTTTTGTGCACGTAACAAGTGAGTGTTTGCTCTATATATCCAACCTATAATTATTTAGTCAAACAAAAACAGACGCGGTACTCTGCAACAATTGAGGCAGGGAAGATGAACTGATTTTAGGGTAAATTAAACTCTCAGTCTCTGTACATTTTTCTCTGAGGCTCAGAGCACCTTGTGAGTCAATGTAAAAATCTAAAGTCTAGTTATGAAAAGAAAAGGAAAAAACATTACTGAGAGAAATGTTTTTTTTTAATATATAATATGATAAATAAAAAACAGTTAACAGTAAAATGTATTCTAGCATGGCCAAATTTCCCCCAAAGGAACACGGGTGTGTTGTAAAATTAGTGTGAGTTCATAAGAGCATTAAAACATTTTTTTTGCTAAAATGAAAAAAAAAAAAAGATTTTCATGTGTTTACAAAAAAAAATAAAAAAACATGTTTATACACTGCACCAAAATAATTAAATAATTAAAAGCAGGGACAAAGTAAATGTGGCTTATTTTTACCCAAAAGAAGCTCAAAGTGTTCATTGACGATACAGTTTACATTTGAGCTTATTATGACATTTTTGGTTTTGGAAACAAACTATTTTTTTCACAGTTTTTACTTTTCTGTACAGTTTAAATTGTAAATGTTGGCAATGTGAGTCTTCCTTTACCCAGTGAGTCTCTCAACTCAACAGGACCTGTGGTTTTCTCTCAAACCTCTGCTGTTCTACTGGTTGATGATGCTCGTTGTCCAGTGGCTTATAAGGTTTGTGCAGCTCTACGTGCAACAGTCGGTGTCACATGTCTCTGCTACTTTTATTTTGTGGGTCAGGCATTGACATCTTTGGAAACCACTGGTTTACTATAATAATTAGTATTCATGTGTAATATTTTTTATTTGAAATCTCTAATTATTTCAAGAAACTTGAAAATCACCCCCTCCTCAGACATTAACCAGTGGTTATGTTTGGTAAATGGAATGGACTGTACTTATACAGCACCTTTCTGTTGTATCAAGATACTCAAAGCACTTTACACTACAATATGTGCCTCATTTACCCATTCATACAGTACTCTATTATTTCTGTACAAAGAATATGATTTCATTCATACACCGATGGGACACACATCAGAGGCAATGAGGGGTTCAGTGTCTTGCCCGGGGACACTTTAGCATGTGACTGCTGGTGGAATCAAACCCCCAACTCTTGCATTGGAGGACGACTGCTCTAAACACTTAGCCACAGTCACGCCTTATGTATGTCCTGATTCTGCTCAATAATCCAGGTAGAAAAATCTATCAAGGTTAAATCAGGTCCTCTGGACAGATTCTTCTTTGTTGAAACGTCTCGTCT